TGTTCCTATGTCTAAAGTCAGCTGATGATGGAGCTTTAAATGAAGAAGTTCAACCTTGCAACTACTATCCTAGGGGAGTTTGTTCCAATTCCCTCTTTATTTTATTATTCTTTATCATGCATAATATGCAATGGGGACATTGCATAAATTAAGTGTGGGGTAAGGGGTTGGTTGGTTACACTAGTTAAATTTTGAAATTTTTGCATAAAATTTGCTAGGATTAATTTAGAAAATTTTGGTAAAGCAATTAGGGATCATGCTAGTATTATATTTGATGATTGCATGAAAACCCAAATGTTTAGTTGAGCCTATATACGTTCTAGTGCATTTGTGGCTTCCTTATTCCAGTGAAATCATGGGACAAAAACACGACCTCGCTTAGTTTGAAGGATGCAATATGTTTAGCATCGTGTACCAGAAATGTATCCAGGAAAATTATTATCTTTAGCCAATAAAGGTTGAAGTTGAGCGCCCCTGCTTAAGCATGTAGGGTTTTGAGTGAAAAAAAGTGAGTTACATGTTAAAAAAAGAGAGAGAATTACAAGAAAAGTTTGAAGAATTTTTGGAGCATCAAAGTTAAGTATGAAATTAGAAGATCGAAAATTCCAAAGAAATTCAAAAAGTTGAAGATACCAAAAATCAAACAACAAAGGTGGTGAATTCAAAGAAATTAAAGATCAAATGTCAAAGAAATGAAGAATTCCAAAGAGCTCCATAGTGGTATCATAAATTGTAATTTTCTAGATTATGTATGCTTGGGTTGCTCAACCAAAAATACCTTGAGGTTAAGAGGTTTTCTGAGGATGGATTCGGAGGGGTGCATAAAATGAGCATTGTTCGGAAAAAGTGGGCGAATGTTTATGAGGATTGTGAGTATTTGGAGTATGGGGGGTTATTAGGAAAATTTTAGACACAAATGCATGCGTTGCGGTCTTGGCATAATGGCTGGGTTTGATTGGGATTGTCTTATGTAATATTAGTATACTAAAATTCAGTTTTGCTTGGGGGTAAGCAAAAGTCAAGTGTGGGGTATTTTGATATGGGCATATTTAGTTATAAAAATCATGCATGATCTTAATACTCTATGTTAACTTTATCTCAAATAATGAACCAAAGGTGCTTAATTAGCTTAAATATTTCATTTTCAGTAACGAAGACATGCTCGGGTGGAAAAGGAAGCGGAACTAGCTATTGGAAGCTTGGATCTTGGATTTTGAAGAAAGAAGGATGTTGTTGGACAGCTTGGCCCCTCGTCAGTGTTTTAGCCATATCTCATGAACCGTAACTCCGATTGATGAGATTCAAAATGTTCTGAAAACTAGACACAATTTCGGATGACTTTCGTGTTTTGAGAAAATGCTGATTCCAAACGTACTCGGCGAGTAGGGTCGATTACTCGCCGAGTTGGTCAGAAGTTTCGCGATTCTGCACGCGCTGACTTGCCGTACATGGGTTTTAAGTGATGGACTCGCCGAGTAGGTCACTGGACTCGCCGAGTAGCCCCTGTTTTGTAAAAATCTATATAAAGGGACTTTCAGATCGATACCCTAGCATATGGATGAACCCTTGGAGGCCAATTGTCGACTAAAGGTGCTGTTGGAGCGTGGGAAGCAAGGGAATCAACCCTACATTCAATTTTAAGGAGAATCAAGTCAAAATCAAGTTTACTCTTACCTAATCTCTTGTTTGAACTATGTTTTTACCAATTGATTTCGTTTTTGTGCTTGTTTCCGCTGTAATCATGAGCTAAAAACTCATAACTTCTGTTTAGGTAGATGAATTTGTGAACATGGATTGATTATTTGATTAGGATTAATTTTAATTGGTGATTATGTTTTATTAAACTTGTTAAAGAACCTTATGTGTTAACAATAACTATTCTTCTGTTAATAAATTAGTAATTAAGTTGTATGAACATCTCTTAGTTGCTAATTTCATATGATTTACGTGACCACATAGTTGTATGTCTAGGAATAATGAATGTGAAACTAGAATTAACTTGATGATAGGTAAGTTAATGTGTGAGATTGTTTGATGAACATCAGCAAGAGGTTAATTGAATCACCAATTTGATTAGCTAATTACAAGTCTTTCTAAACCCGAATCAATAACTAGGAAATCCGTTGATTTAGACAACTGGCCACTGCTTGAGTTAATTTGTTTCCTAAGGATTAGTAATAGCGAAAGTGGAACTAATCATCTTAGTCGGTAGCTAATGAAGAATTAATCCGATACATCGAAATAATCCATGGGAACAAATGAGTCGAACCTAAACAGAAGTCCTCTTTATTATTGAATTTAGTTGATTTTTATTTGCTTAGCTCTTAGTTTCTTAGTTTAAGTTTTAGTTAATTGTTTAAGTTTCTAGTCTTGCAAAACTAGAGAAAACCCCCTTTCTATTACTTGTTTTATTTAGATAATATTAGCATTTATTTTAATTGTTTACCGTTCTCTGTGTTCGATACCTTACTTGCTTGAACTATATTACTAATCGATAGGTACACTGCCTTTCGTGTGTTTATTTTGTGTCTAAGTTAGTAGGATTAAAACTAGTTGGTTTTACACACATCAGGCGGTTTGTACGGTTTTTTGCGGTTTATGCGGTTTGAAAAAGGATATGTATTTTTAATATTATGTACATAAAATTTATACATAAATATATTAGTTATAGAATCAAGATAAGTTGGTTTTGCCAATGTTTTAACAATACTAGTCATTGTTACATTAGACAATCAGATAAATAATCTATCACAAATTTGTTTACAAAAATTGAAATTGGTGATATCAAAATTCATTAGTAATAAAACCAAATTCGTATCTTCTGTGTAATTTTTATGTGTTTGTATATATATATATATATATATATATATATATATATATATATATATATATATATGCGTTGCGGTTTGAACCACATTGTTATAATTGGAAACCACAAACTGCACCGCATAATGCGGTTTAACAAAATTTCAAACCGCAAACCGCACCACACTAGTTCTAAACCGCATTAGGCGGTGCGGTTTGGTGCGGTGTGAGCGGTTTATGCGGTTTGTACGGTTTGGTGCACACCCCTAATATATATATATATATATATATATATATATATATATATATATATATATATATATATATATATATATATATTCTACTTTTGTTATTAGCCTTATCTTTAATTTGGTGGTACATGACTACAAACTTAAAAGACGGATCTCAATGAGCAATAAACATAGAAGGCTAAACAAACTAACCCAACACTATATTGGCCCAATCTATCTTGAACCAAATCATGGATCATGGATAAGATGGGTGTTATTCGTGTTCAACTAACGAAGAAGTAAAAATCTAGGAACATTCAAATGTAGTTACGTTTTTTAAGCATTTACTAATAAAAGTCAAGTTCTTATATATAGCTATACAATATGAGTTGATTCATTGCGGATGTTGGTCTCAGAAAAATTCTGTAAGTACATCAATTAAAGTTTTTTTTATAAAGGGTGAGAATACGACAATAAATGAATTTAGGTTGAGATTTATGACCCACCAACCTTCAACCTATCAAATAAACAGGTTTTGTTCAGTTTAGTTATTGGGTTTACGGTTCAACCCATTTTTTTTCCCATTTTAAGTTGTAAAGGGTATTACCGATTTAAATCAGTTTGCGAAGGTGTTTCACCATTTCATGAAAACATTGAGACGTTTTGCCGTGCATTTTCAAGCGCTGTTTCATAACCTCTATTAGCCACCTGAAATGAGCATGAGAATATTTGAACCCAATACCTTTTTATGAGAAGATTCACCTTATAATTTATCAGACTTAAGTTGTGTGACTATGTTTATTAGTGTACGTATGTGCGTGCTCTAAATCAAACCAATCATCACTATCACACAAATAATACCCGTTAACCCGAATATGACCCATGAATCTGCGAACCAGTATATATAAACATGTTAGACGGTTTGTGTCCATGTTGATGTTTCCAACCCGCCAACCAGTGATACAAACAATTATATGAGTCGTATACAAGTTGATATATTTTGATCCGTCAACCCTCGACCTACCAACTCGAATTCAATATGATTACCACACCTACTTTTTATTATTTAAAAAACAAATTTGGAAATTTTTTACTATTAGAGAAAAATACTAATTCGATGGGTCATTCCAAACAATTATGAGTCGTTTGTTTTTTATAAGATCTGCAGCACCACTTTTGTCTGCGCCCTGCAGACAACACGCAAACTTTTATCACCGCAGATTGTTTGTTTTTGTTATTTTTTAGGCTTTGTCAAATTTATTTTATTAAAAATTTATACAACTTTAAAAAAGTTGTCAAACTTTCAAAATTAAAATACATCAAATATTATAATTACATAATCTTTTATCCATTTTTTTTTTGTTATTTTTAACTAAAATATAAAAAATTTATCATCCTTTCTTTTTAACTATAGTATAAAAATTTTAGGGAAAATACCGCAAATAGACAAAAAAATGGGGGTCAATTTCTAAATTTAGTCATCAAGATCGATTTTTTTGGCTATAGACATACATTATGCGGAGGACCCCCCACGGACCTCCGCGGAACCATGAAATCTCCGCGTAGAGGGGGTAATTTCGTAATATCAACCTGTTTTTTTGAGAAAAACGAAGGGGTCCTCTTTTGGTCCCCACTGTCCCCGTTTGTGTTCGTCACTTCGCATCATCTCGCATAGTCAATCATCGAAGACTTCAAATCCGGCGACGACTTCAACTCCGACGGAATACGCTGTCAAACGACTTCAACTCCGGCGAAATCGAATATAAAGCACTTGAAATTCGTCACCGATGAACGGCAACTTCCCTGATGTTATGGCCGATGGATACGGTTCCCGGGTATTTCTCACATTCCCATCTAATTATTAATGTTGAAAATGTTGAATATGATTCAAATTAGAGGAAAACCCATTTTATTACATTGAATATGTATATAGTTTTAGAATTTTTAGGTTTACAAATCATAGAAATGATTTTTGGAGATTATACATTTCGCGGAGGGAGACGTCAGTCCGCAGTGGGTGCTCCGCGGAGTGATGTGCTACCTCCGCGGAATGTTATAAACAAAGAAACGCAGGTCTCCGCAAAGGCTAGAGGTCACTCCGCAGAGAGGCCTCCGCAGAATAACATTAAAAATGGTTTTTGCACAAATTTTTTTTTTCTGCTTTTGCTGCCATTTTCCTTTGTGTATTTAGTTATATATAAAAAGTATGTTGCTATTTATTTCATAAACCGAATTAGAAAAGTAATTTTTGAAGTTTGTTTTTTATTTTCAATTAGTAATGTTTTAAATGAAATAATAATTTTTTTTTGTTGTGTAGCACGAAGATCTCAATTTAAAAGCGGATTTAACTCTAATAGGCATGGTGGGGACTATCATTAAAGACTATTTTCCGCACCTAACACAATCACAATGACTATTATTCGAAGCTTCCCCCTTTGGAATATTCTTAGGAATGCACATCCCACATTGTGATCCCTTACTTGTGCATATGATGATGTTGCACGAAATAAGGAGTCAACAAATATTTGAAATGGGGAGGTTTTTGTTTGATATAGAGGGGATCCAGGTGGATTTTGGTGAAACTAAATATATTCTCATTTGTGGTTTAAAAGTTGGTCCTTATGTGGATTTACTCCATGACGAAAAGGGCCAGTCAAATTCAAATATCCATGCTCGGTTGTTCCCAGATATTTCTGATGCACGTTTGCGGTTGAAAGATTTAGAAGACTTGATTATGTCCCCGAATTATTTGGTACTACAAGATGAAGATGATGTGATGCTTATCCAACTTGTTTTTATGTTGAAGGGTCTACACGAACGAGACGTTAAAACAGGCATTCCTGCAGCAGTATACAAGCTTGCTGATAATATAGATGATTGGAACAGGTATTATATTTAAAACATGCATTCCCGTAGTGGTATGCAATGCACTAATTATAATAAATAAATTGAAAATTGCAGCTTTGCATGGGGTACGTATTTATGGAAATATACTTCGCGTATGATGCGTAGAATGTTTAAGAAAATAGAAGATTTTAGACTATTGAAGCAGGCCAATCGCGAATCGAAGAAAGTACACAAATATATTGTTCCCGGTTTTATGCTTCCATTTAAGGTTATTTTCTAATGGATTTAAATAGTTATTGTTGTTTAGTTTTTTATACTATAAAAAGCTGAACTACGTTTTGTATTATATAATAAGATTGTATCATGACTTTTATACTATAATAGAACGATACTTACAATTTTTTTCATAGATATCGATTTTGGAGACGTTCCCAGAGGCAACCAAGTTTTATATACGCACGCCGACAAAATTGCCACGGATGAGGGCGTGGAGAAGTAAAACACCGTTATCTTGGGATTAATGTTGTCGAATAATGAACGTGTTTGTGGTATGGTTTTTATATTATCAATAATTTATATTTCAAATCCAATGTATTTTCATGTTAAACTAACAATCTGATTTTTGCAGCCTAACAACCAACCTATTAATTTCATGGCAACCCTAGAGGAGCTAATATTGCCGTTTTATGTTCGTTATGTCAATTGGACTCTTAACCCTGTAGAGTCTCCCCCACGGCAACATAGTCATGTCCGAAATAGTCCACCTCATGTTGCCTCGCCTGCTCGAAGAAGGATGTACAAGTCCGAAATAGAAACATGTTCGAATGAATCTACCACAAATTCTTCTTCCTCGAAACATCTTGAAATAGAAACAAGTTATATGTCAAACGACACATCTAGATTGGTAAAGAAGAAGAAGACGAGCACAAAGGCATTAGTGAAGCGTCTACTAGGTGTTGTGGCTGACTTAAGTTCTAAAGTAGACCGTGTATTACAGAAAAAAGATGAATCAGACACAAATGTTGAACCAGACAGAGGGTTTTGAGAGGAGGAAGAGGTGGAGGAGGAGGAAGACATGATAAATGAAGAGGAGGAAGAAAAATATTACCATGATACACCTTTTGACTATGATGATATAGGTACTCATGGTTTGGAGGGGGAATTTGGGCCTACACCTATGCATGTTGAGCCGTCATCGGACGTGGGTGAACATCACACAAAAGAAATGACTCCTATTGTTAGGTCGCAACGAAAGAGGGGTGTTCCATGGTATCAGTGGACTCCGTTCATAGTGGTACAAAACTCCTATTTTAAATTTGATATATCTTTAAAATATTAACGTATTGATAATTATTTAACATGTTAATTTTTTAGTTGCAATCCACACCAAAATTGAAGAAAATCACCAAAGCAAAGAAAAAAAAGTGGTGAAGAGTCCTAAAAAAGCAAATCAAGAGATTGTGAATCAAGAGAGTGATGATGTTTCAAATTTTTTCCTGCTCGACAGTGTTAAAGCTGCCAGTACGTTGAGTTTTTGGAAAGAATGAAATAAGATCTCTTCCAACCTAAACACTAAACATAGGCTGCATATGCTTACACTGGATGTGGAGTTTTGGTCGAGGTTACTTGCAGTTACTGACGCTGGGTGCTTATTTTCTTCAGTAACATTCGTTAAATATAATTTTTAACTAAATTTTAGATGATAATTTATATAAAAAAAATGTAAAATTTTTATCTTAAAATGTACAGCATATTGCGATATGGACAGCCGGCGAACGCAAGATGGACGATATTCCCTCAAGAACTTAATTTGCAAAACAGAAAAACATATTTTCTTAGAAATATAGCAAATGGTGTTGGAAGCCATCCTAAATGGAAGGATGTGGATATGGTTAGTTAAGTTTATTAATTATTTATTTTATATAGGAACTAAATTAATGACTATTAAATTTTTTTTTTGTTTGCAGGGTCTATTCCCCATAAACGTTCCTAATGCCCATCGGTTTTTGGCAGTGCTACATTTACGTATTTGGAAAGTACACATTTATGATTCAGCACGACGTATGAATTACTTCACAATGTACTTGACTGGTGGAGAATTCAAAAGTTTTGGGGATAGTATAATCGAAGAGCTAGATGCGATTGACTACTGGAAGGATTTCCCCGATGGACACAAAGACAACGTAGTTGTGGAGTTTATTGATATTGTAGATGCGCCACAACAAGAATATATTGCTAATAGAGGGGATTGTGTAGTATTCGTAAGCATGTATATGGAAATGATTGCTTCGGGGGTACCGGTGAAGAGTGATAAACCATGTAGAGATGCGGGATTTCTCTACAAAAATAGGATGACAAATATTATTTGGGATACTAAATAACTTGATGTTTGGAAGTTTCTATACATTATTATGAAATACTTGTTTTTAGTAGTTTTATTTAATATAAACAACTTTTGTATCATATATGTTTTGAAACATAATTCACCAACATATATTACGATACATTAAAAACAAAACAAACATTTGAAATAACATAATAACATTACAAAAACATTACAAATAAAAGATGAACGATTAACAAACATTACATAGAACATTATGAATAAAAGAGTCGTCTACATGAAAAAGGGTTTATTTCTAACCAGATTCCAAACGTCCGTATACTCGAACTCAGTTTCATCAAACTGGCATAGGTAATATCCGTTCACGTATTCAAGAATTCCTTCATCATCATCATAGCATCACATTTTCTCATAATTGTAGCATCGACTGTACCATGTGACTTTAGTCTTTAAATCCATTCATTTACTAACAATATCGGGTTTTAGTCATTCTTGTCCTTGTCTGACCTTATAGTTGAACAAAGGTACTAAGCAGGATCATTCATCACCAACAAGGCAATTAAGGGGAGCCATTACCGAAAAACCCTCGTAAACGGTAATCCAACATCGTGTTAGGACCAACACCTCTGTTTTCGTCCATGGAGATGTACCATTTATTGGAGCAGACACATTAGACAGATTAGCTGCATTTGAAGACTTTAGTACATTGGATGCCATTTTGGAGCAGACGTATAGATACGTGCTTTACTATATATAAAAAGATAGGTAATGCGGACTGACAAGTCAGTAACGCGGACTGACCATTCGCTTTACGGACTAACAAGTCAGTAACGCGGACCATAATGTTGTACGCTCTTCATTTTTACTAACTATTTTTTCAGCCTACTCGGTTAGCACTATTGCACGTTTCCCTGTAAAGAAGATATATATATAATTAACTTATTATTTGACCTAATTAAAGTCCAAATTAAGTTCATACCTCCTTCGATGTGACGTTTGTTACACCATTCCTGTGAAAGACGATGGAAGAACTCAATAAGGGGTATTATAGGCATCTTCTTTGCATCTACAAATAAAGCATTCATGGACTCTGCACTATTCGAGGTCATGTAATCGTACCGTTTCGACAGCAAAAATGCTCTACTCCATTTAGCACGGGGAATTTCACTTAGATACGCTGCTACTTGTGGCCTAGTAGAACTAAATCTATACCATAATTCTTCAAAAACATTTCTTCTGTAAGTTTTCACAAGCCTCCAAAACAACACTTTTGTTTTATCATTTTTCCCAAAACTGTGTACTATGTTTCCTAGTAGATGAAAAGCACACAAGCCATGATGAGCATGTGGGAAAACATTTTCAATACTAACCCGAATTGCATCGGCCCTATCATTTACAGAAGTCAATTCTTGACAATCACCAACACATTCATACAGCTTTTCAAGAAACCATGTCCAAGTAAGACCACTCTTTTTTTTGCATATTCTGTGCACAAGGGGCGGTATCTGGTTGTTCCCATCCATAGCTACTGCATACAATATGGTTCCCTTAAAATCACCCTTCAAATAGGCAACATCCATAATTATAACTTTATGACAAAAATGTTTGAACGCTCGTATCTGCAATATATTAAAATCAAACACATAAACACTCTATAATTTGTTTAAAAATTATATATTAAATAACAATAAGTTTTTTGTATTTACTGTGCTCCCAATGGCATAAAAACAACACTCGAAACAATCTTCAGAAACTGTTTGAATATAGGCCACTGTATCGGGATTATGCCTCTTCAAATTGTGAAAATAAATACGAAGTTTGGAAAAACAGTCTTTAGAGGATCCCAACAACACTTTCATAACATATTGTTTTGCACGCCAAGCTTGTTTGTAATCTACATTGATTTCCAGCAAAGCATTCAAATCTCTTGATATTTCTTTAGGCCTCCAAACCTTGGAATGAGTTTTTCCCATAATCTCATACAATATAGTACCCATCACTTTTTTATTAGCATGTTTATGATTAGGGTGTATCTATAATGACGAACATGTGTGCACGTTGTTGAAAGTCCTGATTTCAAATTCATTAGTGGGATCAAGGCGTTTTGCATATAAACGCCAACTATAATTCTCAATTTCACAATATACCTCATAACGATTTTTGTTAGAATGTTTGGTCTTAAACTGAACCCTTTCTCTGGTTTCTTTAAGACTCAAAGAAAATATTAGTTGTTGTTTGTTATCATATGTTTGACGAACAAACATATCATCATTTGGACCTAAACTGTGAAATGGTCCGGGTTCAACAATAGGATCAGAACAATCAGGTATGGAGGCATACCGTAAAATATGTCTGAAGCTTTTTTCCCGTGTGTGAACTCATCTTCTGACCATCCTTCATTTGACTCTTCACCGTCTGACAAAGTTTTGTCAGTCAGTCTTCCAAACTCATATAAATTTTTTTCTTCGACCGTATTCACTGCCAGAGTTTCTTCTTCTGGACACTCTCCAACATTATCAAATACAACGTTTTCAACATTGTATGTGTAACATCTTAAAATACGACCCAATTTTTTATTTTATTTTAATAGTTATAAAAATCATATACTGAGCGTCATATTATAAAAACCATATGTTAAATATCTCAACTCGTAATAAAATGTCGTGAAACAACTGTATCAAATCAAACTATGAATCAAAACAAACTCCCAGGATAAAGACTGAAGTTGTGGTGTGTGCGATGCCATCATCCCGAGCTCTTCCCCTTACTTGCGGAAGTACCTGAAACCAAAACCAAAACTGTAAGCACGAAGCTTAGTGAGCTCCCCCAAACTACCACATCCCATACAATAACATATAAACACATACTGGGCCTTGCCCACTGCATCGGACCGAAGCCCAGAAACTGCATCGGACCGTAGTCCGGAACTGACTGGGACCTTGTTCCCTGCATCAGACCGAAGTCTGGAACTAGCTGCATCGGACCGAAGTCCGGAACTGACTACATCGGACCGAAGTCCGGAATTCACTAATCATAGCATAGCATAAACACATATCAACTAGCATAACACACATCATCATAAACTCATGTACTACATACTATGTCAGGCCGTAGCCCAGAACACATAACACATCAATCCTGTCTGAGCCACGAAGGAATCAAACACACTAAAAACTACATCGGACCGAAGTCTGGAAACTACTACTAACTAAACGGGCCGACATTGTGGCCTTAGACCCGTTCCTACTGGAAGGAAACTCACCTCGTAGCCTAGCTGCTGAAAGGACTGCTCCAGAATCTGTCTGTTGCGTCTCCGGTTTCACTCCGGCTACAATATCCATGAGCACCATCAATCAAATACTGATAATAATACTGAGGGTAAATTAACTCTCCTACCCTTGGTCTAAGTCCACCTAACTGTCAAAGTCAACATTCAGTTGACCTGACTCGTCGAGTTGGGTTGCCAACTCGTCGAGTCCTTACTCTTACTTTCTTGAATCCACTCGCTACTACTCGTCGAGTTTTGGCGCAAACTCGACGAGTTCCTCTTTGCTACTAACACTCAGACAATCTGCATCCGACTCGCCGAGTTGTATGAACAACTCGTCGAGTTCTCCTTCATCAGATGATCATTCTAGCTGTGACTCGCCGAGTTGTATGAACAACTCGTCGAGTTTGTTCTTGAAGTATGAAGATTGCCTTGGACTCGCCGAGTTCTTCTACGAATGAGTCTAACCCTCTAGCTCACCGAGTCCATCTCTCACTCACTGGTTCCACTCGGCATAACTCGAAAAAGGAAAAACAGGGGACTTGTGACTCGACTCGCCGAGTCAGAAGAACGACTCGCCGAGTCGTATGCATGCAAACACTATATACTCGATTCTGCTTGAAACCAGTCCATACCATTAATAGATTTGGGTTCCTGGGACTTGATTTACATGTAAAGTTTCCAACTTTACGTGTAAATAACATCAAATGAAGGTTTTAAGGTTCAAAGCACACTAAAATAGTAGATCTAGAGCTTCCATGCAAAATAGATCCATAAAGGTGCTAGATCTAAGCTTCTGGAATTCAAACCTAGCTAGATTTGAAATCTAATCAACTCCAAGAGTCCTCTATGCTACTACTAAGCCAAAAAATGGTTCAAGAATAGCTTTAATGGCTTTTAAAAGGGGATTTAACCATAGAAACAGAAAAGGGACAAGATATACCTTACTATCTTCTGAAATTCCTCAAGGATCTAGGATCTCCTTCTTCTCCTCTTGATCTACCTTCCTTTATCTCTCAAGATCTTCAAAGAACACACCAAAATCACACAAAATGCAAAGAGGGCTCTAGGGTTTCGAGAATGATGCTCTGAGGGGTGATGGGGGCTGACTAGAGGCCCCCAAAGTTGTTTAAATAAGGTGCAAACCCTTGAAATTAGGGTTTCATCCAGACTGGCGGACTCGCCGAGTCCAGAATATAGACTCGCCGAGTCGCCAACTTAAACGTGCTTGAAATCGCGACTCTACTCGACGAGTCCAGCTACCGACTCGTCGAGTTCCCCTTAAAACTTGAAGAAAAATAACAATAAATAAAATATAAATATCATACCAGAATTGGGGTGTTACAGTATGGTACAATCTTCTCAACCGCTTCTATATGTTCGACCAATGCCTGAAACACATCTAAATACAAATGCACAATCTCCTTCGTTTTAGAAATTACATTTCTGAGTTGATGAACATCTGCTTCGTCTAAAATATTCATAACATACCCATGAACCGAGTGTTGAAATGACAATGATATATTACTATTGAACACATTAGCCTTACTTTTGACCAAATCAAACAATATTTGACGATAAAAAACGTTAAAAAATCAGACTTTCGGGTGTTCCGTGGAGATGACGTCATTCCGCAGAGGTCCGCGGAGGGTCCTCCGCAGAATATATATCTATAGCCGGAAAAATTGATTTTTATGAATAAATTTAGAAATTAACCCAATTTTTTTGTCTAATTGCGGTATTTTCCCATTATCACCACTTAGTAAAATGATAAATTATATGAGAGTTTAATAAAATATTTAAAACGATACATTAATTAAAATCACAAATAAAACAAGTGGCAATTAGTTTACAACTCTCATATATATATATATATATATATATATATATATATATATATATATATATATATATATATATATATATATATATATATATATATATATATATATATATATATATATATATATATATATATATATATATATGAAATGGTTCAAATGAAAAAAAAAAGAAATATTAAAAACTCTAACATTAAAGTATGGACAAATCAAAAATTATTATTATATTAAACAAGCTTTCTTATTCCTTAGTTTACAACTAATTGCCACTTGTTGTTAGATCGCCATCGGACAACCTTCGGACTGTCGCCGAACTAACACCAAATTTAATGATATTTCTGTAGTCATATTCACAACTTAGTAGAACAAACGTTATAATTCTCACTTCTTTATAATACTTTTTAACACATAACATTTCATTTGTGCAGCCAAATGTACAAAATTTTAATAAAAAATAAAATTATTCCTTGACAATTTTTTTAAATTATAGATTTCTTTACAAAAAATATCGTGTATAAGATTTATTCACAGTTTAAAGTACCTTATTCACAGTTTAATAAACATATTAATTTGTTAATACACAATTTAATATTTAAATGCATAACTTTATTCGTAATTTAACACAAATTTTATATAAAATATACAATTTATATAGTTTATTTTTTTGTTTAATACATAAAATTCACAACATACCATAATACAATAAATTCTACGCTAATTCACATATTTATATAAGTCAAACTTAAATTCTACCACCACACCCAATCATATGTGTCACAGTCGCAATAATCATTCCTTCCATATCAGATATGTATATATAAAATCATTATTAATTGTCAGTTTAAATAATATATTCATCATTTAATAAACCAAATAGTTCACTTATATAAAGGTTAATGCAAATAACTATAAAAACTAATACATTCTTAAATGTTTATACAACACAAAAAATAAATATATACACAAGAAAATTAGTACAAACATTCATACATAATCATTCATATTTTAACACAAAATTAATTAAAATTTTGCAGCTTAATACAGTCAGTTCATAGTTTAAATAAAAAATTCACTGCTAAACGGAGGCAATTTAAAGTTTAAAACACAAAAATCACAGCTTAAGTCATAAAATCCATAGCTTAATATAATCAATTCACAGTGTAAACGAAAAATTCAAAGCTTAATGCAGTCCATTCACAATTTAAAACATAATAATCACAACTTAATACACAAAGTTTACAGCTCAATACAATAAATTCATAGTTTAATACACAAAAAGTATGCATTTAGAATGATATTATTAACTTAAATTTTTTAATATAATCAACTCACAATTTTATACACAAAGTGTTGGATTAGGTGTCTAAACCCATAACTATAATTGGTATGTACTTGATTTGATAGTAACATGATCATTTTGGGTTGCATTCACACTGGCAACTAGACAGGATGACTATGAGGGAGAGAGACCGAATTTATTATTTAGAATAATAAATTGGTACATAAATATGATTTATTAATATATTATAAGAATAATATATTAATTAAAAATCATATTGTTAATAATTATTTAATCATAAATTAATTTGAAATTAATTTTAGGATTAAAGGAACGGATTGAAAGTGCAGGGGCTATTTTTTTAATATATTTGATAGTTGAAGTTTTGGGCCATTGGATCACACTTATTAAGGAGGGTCGAAAATCCGTAGAAGGTTCTAGAGATTTTCATCCAATTCCTAAGGAAGGGGTCCATGAACTTGCTTAGGCCCTAAGCTAAGGAATTAGGGGTTTTTGCCTCAAAACCCTAGCTGGCCTCAAGTATAAATAGACCCCTTGGCCTCTTGAATTTATGACCCCTCTGGA